GGACGGTTCATACACACGGTACAGTAACTGAAAGTGCTCAAGAAACAGAAACCATCACAAAATCATACATAATTACAGTGCATTGAAAGAATTAAGATAAAATCCTTCAATTAACTGTTTTTAATCTGGATTTGAACGTTGTCAGAGAAGAAGCCTGTCTCTCATTTTCATAAAGATGCAGATTTTAGCTGTATTAATCTGAAGGAGGCCAGTCCCTGTGCTCCTCAGAGTCACCGCAGGAGGCCAGTCCCTGTGCTCCTCAGAGTCACCGCAGGAGGCCAGTCCCTGTGCTCCTCAGAGTCCCAGCCAGAGGCCAGTCCCTGTGCTCCTCAGAGTCCCAGCCAGAGGCCAGTCCCTGTGCTACTCAGAGTCCCAGCCAGAGGCCAGTCCCTGTGATCCTCAGAGTCCCAGCAGGAGGCCAGTCCCTGTGCTACTCAGAGTCCCAGCCAGAGGCCAGTCCCCGTGATCCTCAGAGTCGCAGCAGGAGACCAGTCCCTGTGCTCCTCAGAGTCACCGCAGGAGGCCAGTCCCTGTGCTCCTCAGAGTCCCAGCAGGAGGCCAGTCCCTGTGCTCCTCAGAGTCCCAGCAGGAGGCCAGTCCCTGTGCTCCTCAGAGTCCCAGCCAGAGGCCAGTCCCTGTGATACTCAGAGTCCCAGCCAGAGGCCAGTCCCTGTGATCCTCAGAGTCCCAGCAGGAGACCAGTCCCCGTGATCCTCAGAGTCCCAGCAGGAGGCCAGTCCCTGTGCTCCTCAGAGTCCCAGCAGGAGGCCAGTCCCTGTGCTCCTCAGAGTCACTGCAGGAGGCCAGTCCCTGTGCTCCTCAGAGTCCCAGCAGGAGGCCAGTCCCTGTGCTCCTCAGAGTCCCAGCCAGAGGCCAGTCCCTGTGCTCCTCAGAGTCCCAGCCAGAGGCCAGTCCCTGTGCTCCTCAGAGTCCCAGCCAGAGGCCAGTCCCTGTGCTCCTCAGAGTCCCTCCCCCAGGAGCTAATACTTGCCCACCTCTGCTTTAGGACCTAGGGCTAAAATGACTCCTCTAACAGTGGAGACGTTTGGAGCGCACCGATCTGCTTCGAGGCAAACAAAAGTACCACAAACAAAAGCATTACACAGATGCTTTTTTAGTTTTAAGTACAGCTGTTTTCAAATCTTTAGTCTCCTCCTGAGAGTTGGATAGAACTCCCTTTGGCCAGAGCGCAGCAGTTATGTGAATCTTTCTGCTCAATCGTCCTAAAGTAAGTTATAGTTTGCCATTTCCATGTTGTGTCAGAGCAGAGAGGACCTCGTGGGAACATCTGGGTGAGTGCTCTCTCTGATGCTTCATTTTTCTCAAAGTGAATAATACATGTGTGTCATTGATGTGCCGTGGCTCGGGTCCATCTTTTCCCTCTGTACATTGACACAGAATACCAGACTGTGAAACCTGGAGCTCAGTAAAACCAACCGGGTGAATGGTCAGGGATATATTTCTATTACATTTTAGTATTGGCCTAAATCAAACATAGTCATGTGGAGTTCTCCGGCCCTAACCATGAAGCAGCACGTCTGTCCCTGTCGCTGCTACACGTCTATGTTTTATACTTTGATTTGAAGAAACTTATTTTTGGACCTGTGTGAAAGCTGAGTCATGATCACAGAGTAGCTTCCTCTCTGGTCACTTCTCCCACTGCTGCAGATGGTCAGTCAGTCGTCAGGCCTGACTAATGGGGCTTTCACACCGCCAACGCTGGAACGCTGACGCCTCGCGCACCAGACGCATAGGTCTTCAAACCAGAAGTCCTGGACTGCGGTGGCGAGCGCCGGAAGTGGCGGAAGTAGCGGGCGGACTTTGATGCTAACGGAGTTAAGCTAGCGGCTCTTTGTGTAAAGTTCTTCTCCAATAATGCATAATGCAATAATCTCTGAGACCTTCACAGACTTTATATAACAGCAGTATGTGTTCACGGAGGTGACTTTATATAACAGCAGTATGTGTTCACGGAGGTGACTTTATATAACAGCAGTATGTGTTCACGGTGACTTTATATAACAGCAGTATGTGTTCACGGAGGTGACTTTATATAACAGCAGTATGTGTTCACGGAGGTGACTTTATATAACAGCAGTATGTGTTCACGGAGGTGACTTTATATAACAGCAGTATGTGTTCACGGTGACTTTATATAACAGCAGTATGTGTTCACGGAGGTGACTTTATATAACAGCAGTATGTGTTCACGGAGGTGACTTTATATAACAGCAGTATGTGTTCACGGAGGTGGCTTTATATAACAGTAGTATGTGTTCACGGAGGTGACTTTATATAACAGCAGTATGTGTTCACGGAGGTGACTTTATATAACAGCAGTATGTGTTCACGGAGGTGACTTTATATAACAGCAGTATGTGTTCACGGAGGTGACTTTATATAACAGCAGTATGTGTTCACGGAGGTGACTTTATATAACAGCAGTATGTGTTCACGGAGGTGACTTTATATAACAGCAGTTGCATAAAGTCACGGGAGCATGAAAACGCATATTTTCACAAGCACTTGAAAATATGCACTATTGTCCACCCTGGTTTAGTCCTGGTTTAGTCCTGGTTTAGTCCTGGTTTAGTCCTGGTTTCGTCCTGGTTTAGTCCTGGTTTAGTCCTGGTTTAGTCCTGGTTTAGTCCTGGTTTAGTCCTGGTGTAGCTCCTGTTTTGGCTGTTTACAGTATGTTCAGACTCACTCAGACTAATGTCCCCGTGACCACTTTGTGGCTCTCTGATTGGTCGCTGCACGAACGTCCAGAGGAAACGCTCAGCAGTATTTATCGTCTGCCTGCGTCAATTTTCCACTACTCCACTTCTGCCGCGACTTTGCAGCGCAGTCCGTGGGTCTGCACCGTGCAGTCCGTGGGTCTCCACCGTGCAGTCCGTGGGTCTCCACCGTGCAGTCCGTGGGTCTCCACCGTGCAGTCCGTGGGTCTCCACCGTGCAGTCCATGCGTGCATTCTGAGACGCACATGCATTTACAATGACACAAACACAAAGAAGAGGGAGGAAAAGGATCACATAAAAGGAAGCTCTCTATTCGTCTTCTTCCACTTTTTTTCTTTATTATTTATTTAACGCCAATCAAAATGTATTTATCTATTTGTTTGGAGGATAAGTCCCTAGAGATGAAACATCTCGTTTTCAAGGGGGTCCTCAAAATCGCACAAAATGACAGATTCAGTACAGACAGTAGAGCAAACAATAATGCAGAATTATTAAATCAAGATGGACAGAAGTATGAGCAAAACAAAAAAACACAAAGCAAGGACAAAAGGAACCAAAGAAGAAAACAAACAAAAAGACAAAACAAATGATTGTTTTCATTCACACACAGATCTTTCATTCTTTGGGGCGCTTCCTAAAATGAGGCAGCGATCTCTCGGCTCCAGAACCACAGGTTGGAAACCCCTGGAGTAGAAGTAATAACACAGAGGCTGAAGCAGAATGTCCTGAACTTTATTCAAAAATCTGACTTTTATTTCTAAAGCAACGGTGGTTTTTCAGAGCGTCCCCTCGGCTCCTCCGCTCACACACTGTAAGCTCTAATTAAGACATTGCGTCGTCACGGCAACAAGGCTCTCTGCGATATCACAGACATTCACAGGGATCAGTATTGTGCGGCAGACAACAGTGTGTTTGTGTGTTGGTGCTAACAAGCTGCACGTGAGGTTCTTAGAAGAGGATGGGGAGAAGGAGGTGGAGGAGGAAGGGGAGGAGGAGGAAGAGGAGGAGCAGGTGGGGTCAGTGACTGGAGTGGCCCCTGTCATGGCCCCTGTTGCTTTGACAGGATCTAGGACCTGATTAAAGTCTGAGGAGGAGGGCCCTGTCACAGGAGCAGCCGTCAGTCAGTCTGAGTCTGAGTCTGAGCTGGGTCACATGGTATATACACCAGGTACAGATACAGATATACACCTGGTATAGATATACATCTGGTATAAATAAAGACACCTGGTATAGATATACACCTGGTACAGATACAGATATACACCTGGTATAGATACATGTATATACAACACATTACAACTACAAGAATACGCACAATGATGTAAACGTACATCCTTCTCTGGTCTGATTGGTCGAACATCCTTCTCTGGTCTGATTGGTCGAACATCCTTCTCTGGTCTGATTGGTTGTACATCCTTCTCTGGTCTGTGATTGGTCGTACATCCTTCTCTGGTCTGTGATTGGTCGAACATCCTTCTCTGGTCTGTGATTGGTCGTACAGCCTTCTCTGGTCTGTGATTGGTCGTACAGCCTTCTCTGGTCTGTGATTGGTCGAACATCCTTCTCTGGTCTGTGATTGGTCGAACATCCTTCTCTGGTCTGTGATTGGTCGTACATCCTTCTCTGGTCTGTGATTGGTCGAACATCCTTCTCTGGTCTGTGATTGGTCGAACATCCTTCTCTGGTCTGTGATTGGTCGAACATCCTTCTGGTCTGTGATTGGTCGTACATCCTTCTCTGGTCTGTGATTGGTCGAACATCCTTCTCTGGTCTGTGATTGGTCGAACATCCTTCTCTGGTCTGTGATTGGTCGTACAGGCTTCTCTGGTCTGTGATTGGTCGTGGAGGTCCTTCTCTGGTCTGTGATTGGTCGTACATCCTTCTCTGGTCTGTGATTGGTTGAACATCCTTCTCTGGTCTGTGATTGGTCGAACATCCTTCTCTGGTCTGTGATTGGTCGAACATCCTTCTGGTCTGTGATTGGTCGTACATCCTTCTCTGGTCTGTGATTGGTCGAACATCCTTCTCTGGTCTGTGATTGGTCGTACAGCCTTCTCTGGTCTGTGATTGGTCGTACATCCTTCTCTGGTCTGTGATTGGTCAAACATCCTTCTCTGGTCTGTGATTGGTCGAACATCCTTCTCTGGTCTGTGATTGGTCGTACATCCTTCTCTGGTCTGTGATTGGTCGTGGAGGTCCTTCTCTGGTCTGTGATTGGTCGTACATCCTTCTCTGGTCTGTGATTGGTCGTACATCCTTCTCTGGTCTGTGATTGGTCGTGGAGGTCCTTCTCTGGTCTGTGATTGGTCGTGGAGGTCCTTCTCTGGTCTGTGATTGGTCGTGGAGGTCCTTCTCTGGTCTGTTATCGGTCGTGGAGGTCCTTCTCTGGTCTGTGATTGGTTGTGGAGGTCCTTCTCTGGTCTGTGATTGGTCGTGGAGGTCCTTCTCTGGTCTGTGATTGGTCGTACATCCTTCTCTGGTCTGTGATTGGTCGTACATCCTTCTCTGGTCTGTGATTGGTCGAACATCCTTCTCTGGTCTGTAATTGGTCGTACATCCTTCTCTGGTCTGTGATTGGTCGTGGAGGTCCTTCTCTGGTCTGTTATTGGTCGTGGAGGTCCTTCTCTGGTCTGTGATTGGTCGTGGAGGTGCTTCTCTGGTCTGTGATTGGTCGTGGAGGTCGGCAGTCAGGGAGAGGACACAGTACATTACGGCTCATTAGGAAATAACAGCAGCTGATGGAACATAATTGAATCCATAAATTACATTTACTGCCATATATTCATTTCAGACGCTCGCTGAGACTAACGACTATAATCCGCTCATCAATCAGGGAAATACAGCAATACTACAGAAATTCCTCCATTATGTTAGCGGCTTATGTCAGACTGTACACCGAACAGTGAGGACTAACGGACACTGCAGACCTGACCTCATGTCATGCATCTGAGCAATCATTTTAATTCATGTCAAAAAGTGCAATTTAGAAACGTGTAGAGACTTTTATATTTGCATTTTTATCATGCCAAAGCTATAGATACTTAAATCTTGCTTCTTCATTAGACAGATACATTCTAATCACTGCTCCCGTCATCACCGTGTGGAGAGAATGGAAAACAATTGTCAAGAGCTTTGGGTGACCTTGGTTTGTAAAATGCGTCTAGATAGACAGACGGACAGATACACAGAGACAGACAGACAGACAGGTGTCCAGCAGCAGAAGACTCATCCAGGTTTGTTGTACAGTCTGACAGCCGAAGGAACAAAGGATCTCTTGAAACGTCCGGTTCGGCAGCGCAGTGATAGGAGCCTGTTGCTACGGTTACTCCTCTGAGCGGCCATAGAGTTATGTTTGGAGATACCCAGGATGCCCTGCCTTATGCCCTGAATTATAATAATAATAATAGCGCTTTCGAAGAAGTCAAAGACGCTTCACAATTTAAGACACTCACACACATTCAGACAGACACACAAAACTAGTATAAATCTGAAACTAAGAGTCGTATGCTTGGAGGAAGAGTTTTTCTAAAGAATTATGCTAAAATTGGAGATTGCTGAGTAATTTTAGTACAGAGTAATTTGTCATGTATCTTGTGCTGTGTGCTCCTCATTCCAACTGATCTGTAACGGCTGATGCAACACTGACATTTCCCCGCTGTGACGCTAATAAGGCATCTGCAGCTCTACATTCACCTTTCAAATCCACAGAACAGTGTCAGAGATGCGGCTTATTCCCAAGACTACCAAATGACCGTTCCTTCCCACGCAGGAGGCCGGACTTTTCAAAGTGCCCCCGTCGCCGGACCCATTTTCTTCTGAGGCTCGGCGAGGCCTGGATGGCGGATCTTGTTTTGTTCCCGCGCTCATCCCAGGGCGCATGCAGAGGAGAATGGCAGCTTTTGAGTCACGGAGCTCAGAGATGATGGGGTGATTGATGGATGCGGGTCTGTGTCGAGAATAGCGATGCAGGTTTTTTTTCCTTTTTTTGAATCTCGCTTCCCGTGGGACGAGAGCAGAGCACGGATGTTTTATGATAGAGGACTTCCAGAGAGAGAGTACACACAACTGTCCAACAATACAGCACACGACGGAAGGAGACCGCAGTGACTCTGTGTGTACGTTATGGGAAAACAAAAGAATTACAAATTACAGGACTGCAAATAAGTGTACTTTAATTTAAAGGCAAATAAAAAAAAATCAAACACAAAAATCCAAGATGGAAACAGGACCAAGACTAGTCATAGTAAAAATTACATTTCATACTGAGGTCTGGATTTGCTCCATTGACTCCGTGAACAGGTGGGAGGGCCTAACTCCTTTTGCAGATTGAAACCATTGGATCTGAGTTTACTGTGACGTATGTAATGAGCCCGAGTGAGTCGTTAGCATTTAGCATTTAGCCTAGCTTTAGCCATCTCCTTTGCCGCTAACGAAGCCCGTGGGGAGTAGCGCCACAATCTTTACCAGCAATTACATTTGCTAAACATTCCTCTTGCTCCTGCGTCAATTTCTTGATAGAACCAGACCGGATTACTTTACTATCGCATTCTTTGCCACTGCCAAACTACAACCTGCCTTGTAATCGCTAAGACGGGGACCAGGCCCAGACGTTACATGCAGTGAAATGATGATTGAGCGGAGTGTACGGATGGATAAGGCCAGGGTAGAACAAGACGTGAGGGAATGACATTAGACTGACAACAAGAGGAGAGGGAGACAGTGGATAAATGCACAGAGACACAGAGAGACACGTGAGGGAGAGGCAGCAATAACACAGGAACTGTCACGATCCGGTCTAGTCCACTCCATGTTTTCCCCTTTCCCGGTCCTCCTGCCTCTGCCTCTCTACTCACCTGGATCTCATCAGGTCATCAACTGCAGCACAAGAGGAGCAGTTCTGCAGACACTTATCGCCAGTTTGTTTGTCTACTTGAGTGTGTTCACAGTAAAGTGACAATTGAAGTATCTGGACTTTAAAAGGTTATAACTTAAAAACTAAAATTACTTTCATAGATTGGTAAAAAGTAGTGATGGGTTGATGAAGCCCCATGAAGCCTTGAGGGTTTGCAGCCTATTACTCGGCCCATGAGTCGAAGACTCGAGGTGAATCATGCTCCACTACGCCATCATGTGGACAAAAAAATACATAACACTCTTAAGTGCTTACAATGAATGGTGAGATCTAATGTTAAAATGTATATTTACAATCTATGGTCTAATGTGTTGTGTTTGAAATGATGCTTCATGAACTATGAACTATTTGAGTCTTTCAGTCAATTGTGTTGATACAACAAACACATCCAAAGTAATACAGTTCTACAGAAAGTTATTAATGGAGGAAAAACTACCAAGAGGTGGATTAATTAAACACAACAAACCATTTATTCCCAATAAATAAATACATTTACTTTGCAACACAAAATTTATTATGGGTAGACCAGGATTCGAACGCTATATATTCTGCTTCGGAGTCCGTCATATACCGACTGCGCCACACAGCTGTTGTGAAGTGTATTATCCAGCGTATTATTACTAATAACTTGAAGCCTTGATATATGAGGTTTTACTAAAGTGAAACGTTTTTAATTGTATTTCATATGAAGTAGTTTCTCTATACTTAGTACAGGACTGCTCCACATCACGCACACACACGTACGCACACACACGTACGCACACACACACACGTACGCACACAGAGGCAGACGGGGACAGCCAATACAGTCTATGGTACAGCCGCGGATCACAAAGCACCTGTCAAAGCAATGCACTCTCCGAACTATATGAAGCACTATATGAACCGTCACGTGGTGCGGCCGCTACGCGAGGCTTCGAACGTCACCACACACGTGACCAATACACGCCTCGACCCACACTTCACAAGAAACGCCCCCAGATTACTCGGTCCACGCTTCGAAGACTCGGTCCGCTCAGCACATCACTAGTAAAAAGATTTCAAACAGACACATTGAAGAGATAGTGTGGAAAAAATCAATAGGAAAGATTGACATAAAAATGTTTAGCAACATTTTAAACGACCAAATCAGCCTCTGATTGGACCATTCTACTGTGACGCCAGTTACATAGAAAATAAAATGTCCTCAGTCTGAAAAAGCAGAAGATGAAATCCCACAAGATTTACATGGTTACCACAACAGGAGGAAATCACTTTATATAAAAAGGAATCGTAAAAAAATAATTAATTAATTAAATGACCCCTGAAAAATGTATAACGGACGTGATGAGGACGGTCCACTTTTCTCTAAAAATTAAACTTGAGAAAAAAAAAAATCTGGTCTGTTTTTACATTTAATTGCTTGACAATGTGAAAGTATCACTTTGCATCTACTTTGTGTAAAAAAATTGAATCTCTGAATCAAATGTGGACATCTGAAAATACCTATCAAACTTCCACAAAGCTCATTCCGTCAAATCATCACGTCCGTTACATAAAATAAACAGGGTTGCTATAGGAAACTTGTCTAATGTATAAAACAGTTATGTTCTAGCAACTTCTAATGGACAGAGGAGGTGCTTGGAAACATGAAAAACATAAAATATCTTCTGATTATTAAAATCTAATTTTTGGCCTTTTGTCACACTTTTGTGCCCTTTAGTGTGAACAAGCCCACTTACATATTGTCAGTAGTGCCTTTTGGCTCCATTTTTCCAGCCACATATTTTGATATTTTTGGGATTTCAGTTTTGCCCTTTGCTGCCTGTCTGCCTGTTATTCCTGTCTGTCTCTTGAATAGATTTTTTGGATTACAATGTCGTCTGCATTTTGAGTCCTTTCTTCAATTGCGACGGGAACAGGGAAATAAAGTCAAAGGACACAGGAGAAACAGAGTCATAAATCTAAACAAAGAACCAGATGAACAAAAACATCCACACCATCACAATGTGGCCACTCTCCTCTCAGCCCAAACACACTCTGAAGTTACTCCCAGGGCTCTTTCATTCAACTGCTGCTAAAGACAGAATGTTTTCTGTGAAGCTCCAGTCATTCTGCGGCAATAGAATTTCATTACATTTTGTTCGGCCGAGAATCAAAACACGGCCTGGAAACACACACGGCCTCTTATCCTTTCAGGTGTCAAGATCCATAAATAAATAGATACTACTGCTATTCTTAATAATAATTGGCTTTATATAGTTTTTTTTGGACACTCAAAGATGCTTTGGACAGCATTATTTATTCACTCCAAACAAACTGTAGCCACAGCTGCCCTGGGGCACACTGACAGAAGCGAGGCAACCAGTCTGTGCCATCAGCCCCTCCCACCACCACCAACCATTCACACACATACCAGACTCATTCTAATGTGGGGGAAGTGTCTTGCCTAAGGACACACTGTGGCATCTGGTGTTCCCAGAGGTCTCCCATCACAGTACTGACCAGGCCCAGCCTAACTTCAAAGGTCTGGGAAATACTATTGCTCGATGACCTGCTCTTGTCACTCGTAGTAGTAGTAGTAGTAGTAGTAGTAGTAGTAGGCCGGTCATTGTATTGAATGAGCGCCGCCTGAGCCTGTCTGAGGTGAAGGAGGTGGTGGTAAAGCAGTCGGGTCCAGCAGAGCCACGGCGCGCACACGTATAAACCGACTGTGGGTGTAGTCTGTGTGTAACGACCCCCATTTAGCAGGAAGGGGCCCCGCAGAGACGAGGCCCCTGGAGTGGGCTGGGTATGGAGCGGTTGTGGGGGGGTCGGGCGTACCACTATAGTCCCACTCTCTGACAGAGATGGATGGGTTATAGGCAAGGACGAAGGGACACCCAGGCTCTGCCCAGGGAGGCTCTCTACAGGGCGGGTTGGAGATGATATTGAGGGGTGTAGCACCGGGCGAGTGGGGGGGGGGGGGGGGGGGCTACGAGGCATTCTGCTGATGAAGTCCTGTCTGCGCCTCTGACACTGCATGTGATTTGTGTTGGACAGATTGAATCATTCATCCACTGGGACCTAACAAGCTGTCTGCACCTCCTCTGTTCACCTCCTCTGTTCACCTCCGCTTTCACCTCCTCTGTTCACCTCCTCTGCACCTCCTCTGTTCACCTCCTCTGTGCACCTCCTCTGCACCTCCTCTGTTCACCTCCTCTGTTCACCTCCTCTGTTCACCTCCTCTGTTCACCTCCTCTGTTCACCTCCTCTTCACCTCCTCTGTTCACCTCCTCTGCACCTCCTCTGTTCACCTCCTCTGTTCACCTCCTCTTTCACCTCCTCTTTCACCTCCTCTGTTCACCTCCTCTGTTCACCTCCTCTGTTCACCTCCTCTGCACCTCCTCTTTCACCTCCTCTGTTCACCTCCTCTGCACCTCTGTTCACCTCCTCTGCACCTCCTCTTTCACCTCCTCTGTTCACCTCCTCTTTCACCTCCTCTGTTCACCTCCTCTGCACCTCCTCTGCACCTCCTCTTTCACCTCCTCTGTTCACCTCCTCTGAGCCTCCTCTTTCACCTCCTCTGTTCACCTCCTCTGCACCTCCTCTGTTCACCTCCTCTGTTCACCTCCTCTGCACCTCCTCTTTCACCTCCTCTTTCACCTCCTCTGCACCTCCTCTGTACCTCCTCTGTTCACCTCCTCTGCACCTCCTCTTTCACCTCCTCTGCACCTCCTCTGTTCACCTCCTCTGCACCTCATCTGTTCACCTCCTCTGTTCACCTCCTCTGCACCTCCTCTTTCACCTCCTCTGTTCACCTCCTCTGCACCTCCTCTGTTCACCTCTGTTCACCTCCTCTGCACCTCCTCTTTCACCTCCTCTGCACCTCCTCTGTTCACCTCCTCTGTTCACCTCCTCTTTCACCTCCTCTTTCACCTCCTCTGTTCACCTCCTCTGCACCTCCTCTGTTCACCTCCTCTGCACCTCCTCTTTCACCTCCTCTGCACCTCCTCTGTTCACCTCCTCTTTCACCTCCTCTGTTCACCTCCTCTGCACCTCCTCTTTCACCTCTGTTCACCTCCTCTGCACCTCCTCTGTTCACCTCCTCTGTTCACCTCCTCTGCACCTCTGTTCACCTCCTCTGCACCTCCTCTGTTCACCTCCTCTGTTCACCTCCTCTGTTCACCTCCTCTGCACCTCCTCTTTCACCTCCTCTGTTCACCTCCTCTGCACCTCCTCTTTTACCTCCTCTGTTCACCTCCTCTGCACCTCCTCTTTCACCTCCTTTCACCTCCTCTGTTCACCTCCTCTGTTCACCTCCTCTGCACCTCCTCTTTCACCTCCTCTGCACCTCCTCTGTCCACTCATCTCACTTCTGTCACACACTGTATTAGTTTCACTTTGTAAGTTGAATTACAGAAGAAATGAACTTTATAATTGTTTTCGAATTTCAAAGTTTCACCAATTTAGAACTAGCCTGGTCTTACCATGTGTAAACTCTGGTCCATGATCATCTCCTACATGTACGTCTGGTCTTACCATGTGTAAACTCTGGTCCATGGTCATTTCCTACATGTACGTCTGGTCTTACCATGTGTAAACTCTAGTCCATGATCATTTCCTACATGTACGTCTGGTCTTACCATGTGTAAACTCTGGTCCATGATCATTTCCTACATGTACGTCTGGTCTTACCATGTGTAAACTCTGGTCCATGATCATTTCCTACATGTACGTCTGGTCTTACCATGTGTAAACTCTGGTCCATGATCATTTCCTACATGTACGTCTGGTCTTACCATGTGTAAACTCTGGTCCATAATCATTTCCTACATGTACGTCTGGTCTTACCATGTGTAAACTCTGGTCCATAATCATTTCCTACATGTACGTCTGGTCTTACCATGTGTAAACTCTGGTCCATGATCATTTCCTACATGTACGTCTGGTCTTACCATGTGTAAACTCTGGTCCATGATCATCTCCTACATGTACGTCTGGTCTTACCATGTGTAAACTCTGGTCCATGATCATCTCCTACATGTACGTCTGGTCTTACCATGTGTAAACTCTGGTCCATGGTCATTTCCTACATGTACGTCTGGGTCTGATCCTAGTGGCTGCAGTTTCCTCGGTTGAATCCTCTCCGACCAATCAGAGAGCGGGGGAGGCGGGTGTTGTAGGTCTGTGTCGGTGACGTCAAGAGTTTGTGCTGAATTTGCTGGTTGTAGTTTGTCGGAGAATGTGATAGTAAAATAATCTGTTCTGGTTCAATCCAAATATCAAGAAACTGAAGCCGGAACAAGAGGAATGTTTAGTAAATGACATTGAAGCAAAGTTAGGCTAAATGCTAAATGCCTCACTCACTCGGGCTCATTACATACGTCACAGTAAACTCAATCTGCAAAAGGAGTTAACCCCTCCCACCTGTTAACGGAGTCAATGGAGCAAACCCAGACCTTAGTACCAAATGAAATGAGTACAATGGTATGATAAGACCAGGCTAGTAAAGCACAGACCTCAGACAGACCCAGGAATACTGTTTTGATATCTGCAGGTCTTCATCTCAGCCTCAGACGCCAGACAATGTTCTAAAAGCTATAATTGTCTTTGCGCTTTTCCATCAAAAAGACTATTTCCTTCAAACACAAACGCAAATATTCCACTGTTTCTGCGGCGATCCAGGAGCCAATTCTTTATCCGCTTCTACATTCGCATCGTTTGGAAGCCGCACTATTAGAGCCATCTATCACACGCCTGTAATGGTGCGGGGATGGCTTCTGCAGAGTGTGAAAAAGGGCTGCACGAGCCCGATGACGATTGTGTGCGCAGTTCTAAAGTGTGCAATCTGTGCCGTGTGTCTGGTGTAAGCGTGGCGGCCGAGTGTGAGCGTGGCGGCTGAGTGTGAGCGTGGCGGCTGAGTGTGAGCGTGGCGGCTGAGTGTAAGCGTGGCGGCCAAGTGGGAGCACAAGGATTGATTCTTTTTGCTCCTGCTGTAAGTGAACTGGTCCTAAATGTGTTTTCAGTGAACCAGGTGGATGTGGACCGCAGGTTATGGTCCCTCTATGTAAAGTGGGCTGTGGTTTGAAGAAACAGTGAAGGGTAAATGAGCTTTAAACTGTTATGTGAGAATGTATGTATGGGTTTTAGAGAGGTGCTTATGACATTTATGGACATTGGTCTCTGCTCCTTATGGACCAACGACTCTGTGTTTTTATCACTGCTTTTCTTGTGTTTAAACTGTTTGATTCTCTGATATGTGTTGGAAAATTCAACAGTTTTATCCCCCGAGATAACTGCGGTTATGATTTAGGGCTGATAAATTGTCTGATAATGTATGCTGTACTGTTTAACAACGGCCTGCTCAGGGACTACAGCTGTGGATTAGCACTGCTGCTACAACCTCGAACATCGCATCTCTGCATTTAGCAATGTTTATTGTACACTCAACCGTTACAAATAATAATCATACCATCCATCCATCCATTTTCTTCCGCTTCATCCGTTGCCGGGTCGCGGGGGCAGCAGTCTAAGCAGAGACGCCCAGACTTCCCTATCTACACACACCTCCTCCAGCTCGTCCGGGGGGACCCCAAGGCGTTCCCAGGCCAGCTGAGAGACATAGTCCCTCCAGCGTGTCCTGGGTCTTCCCCGGGGCCTCCTCCCGGTGGGACGTGCCCGGAACACCTCCCCAGGGAGGCATCCAAGATGCATCCGGAACAGATACCCGAGCCATCTCAACTGGTTCCTCTCTACGTGGAGAAGCAGCGGCTCTACTCCGAGCTCCTCCCGTGTGGCCGAGCTCCTCACCCTATCTCTAAGGGAGCGCCCAGCCACTCTGCGGAGGAAGCTCATTTCGACCGCTTGTATCCGCGATCTCGTTCTTTCGGTCATTACCCAAAGCTCATGACCATAGGTGAGGGAGGGAACGAAGATTGACCGGTAAATCGAGAGCTTTGCCTTTCGGCTCAGCTCCCTCTTCACCACAACGGTCCGATACAGCGACCGCATCACTGCGCACGCTGCACCGATCCGCCTGTCAATCTCACGCTCCATCCGTCCCTCACTCGTGAACAAGACCCCGAGATACTTGAACTCCTCCACTTGAGGAAGGACCTCTCCACCCACCTGCAGAGGGCAAGGCACCTTTTTCCGGTCGAGCACCATGGCCTCAGATTTGGAGGTGCTGATTCTCATCCCAGCCGCTTCACACTCGGCTGCAAACCGTCCCAATGCATGCTGCAGGTCCTGGTTTGTTGGAGCCAACAGGACAACATAATCCGCAAAAAGCAGGGATGAAATCCTTAGGTCCCCCTCCGGCCCCTGGCTGCGCCTGGATATTCTGTCCATAAACACAGTGAACAGAACCGGTGACAAAGGGCAGCCCTGGCGGAGGCCAACTTGCACCGGGAACAGGTCTGACTTACTGCCGGCAATGCGAACACAGCTCTGACTCCAGTCATACAGGGACCGGACGGCCCTCAGCAGAGGACCCCGGACCCCGTACTCCCGGAGAACCCCGCAAAGGACACCCCGGTGAACACGGTCGAACGCCTTCTCCAAATCCACAAAGCACATGTGGACAGGTTGGGCAAACTCCCATGAACCCTCGAGTATCCGATGGAGAGTGTAGAGCTGGTCCATTGTTCCACGGCCGGGACGAAAACCACACTGCTCCTCCTGAATCCGAGATTTGACCATCGGCCGTAGCCTCCTCTCCAGTACCTTGGACCTTACCCGGGGAGGCTGAGGAGTGTGATCCCACGATAATTGGAACACACCCTCCGGTCCCCCTTCTTGTAGAGAGGGACCACCACCCCGGTCTGCCACTCCATTGGCACCGCCCCCGATCGCCACGCAATGCTGCAGAGACGTGTCAGCCAAGACAGTCCCACAACATCCAGAGCCAGGGCGGATCTCATCCACTCCCGGGACCAGCAACGGAGACCTTACGACCACAGCTACGGGCCGCCGCATCGGCGATAGAGGAAGAGAACATGGTCCACTCTGACTCAATGTCTCCTCCGCCGGGACCTGGAAAAAGCTCTCCCGGAGGTGTGAGTTGAAATTCCGTCTGACAGGGGGCTCAGCGAGACGTTCCCAGCAGACCCTCACTACACGCTTGGGTCTGCCAGGTCTGACTGGCTTCATCCCCTGCAGCGGATCCAACTCACGACCATGTGGTGATCGGTTGACAGCTCCGCCCCTCTCTTCACCCGAGTGTCCGAGACACGCGGTCGAAGGTCAGATGATACGACAACAAAGTCGATCATCGACCTCCGGCCTAGGGTGTCCTGGTGCCACGTGCACTGGTGGACACCCTTGTGCTCGAACATGGTGTTCGTGATGGACAAACTGTGACTGGCACAGAAGTCCAACAACTGAACACCGCTCGGGTTCAGATCAGGGGGGGGGCGTTCTTCCCGATCACCCCTCTCCAAGAGTCACTGGCATTTCCCACATGGGCGTTGAAGTCCCCCAGGAGAATAACGGAGTCCCCGGGCGGTGCACTGTCCAGAACACCTCCCAAGGACTCCAAGAAGGCCGGGTACTCTGCACTGCTGTTCGGCCCGTAGGCCGTCACAACAGTGAGAGACTTGTCCCCCACCCGGAGGTGGAGGGACGCGACGCTCTCATTCACCGGGGAGAACTCCAACACGTGGCGGCCGAGATGGGGGGCAATGAGTATGGCCACCCCAGCTCGGCGCCTCTCCCCGCGGGAAACACCAGAAAAGTGGAGCGTCCAACCCCTCTCAAGGAGTTTGGTTCCAGAGCCCAAGCTGTGTGTGGAGGTGAGGCCGACTATCTCTAGTCGGTATCGCTCAACCTCCCCCACGAGCTCGGGCTCCTTCCCCCCCAGTGAGGTGACGTTCCACGTCCCTAGAGCCAGATGTTGTGTGTGTGGACTGGGTCGCCGAGGTCTCCGCCTTCGACTGCCGCCCAGTCCTCTCTGCACCGCGCCACCACAGACCCCTCCGCAGGTGGTGGGTCCACAGGAGGGTGGTGGGTCCACAGGAGTAATAATCATACCAATTATAGCAAATCTTACACTGGGACTGCGGTTAAAGGGATTAGGTTTTTCTTCAAACATCGTCATAGTGTAGCGATTATGTATCTCAAACTTCGTCTCAAACCTCACTGTGTTTGTCTCCATAATATGTGTGTGGAGCGGGTGAGTGAGCAGGTGAGTGGGTGAGTGAGTGGGTGAGTGAGCGAGTGAGCGAGCGAGTGGGTGAGTGAGCGGTCGAGTGAGCGGTCGAGTGAGCGGTCGAGTGAGCGGTCGAGTGAGCGGTCGAGTGAGCGGGTGAGTGAGCGGTCGAGTGAGCGGTCGAGTGAGCGAGTGAGCGGTCGAGTGAGCGGGTGAGTGAGCGAGTGAGTGAGTGAGTGAGCGAGTGAGCGAGTGAGTGAGCGGTCGAGTGAGCGGGCGAGTGAGCGGTCGAGTGAGCGGTCGAGTGAGCAGGCGAGCGAGTGAGTGAGTGAGTGAGCGAGTGAGCGAGTGAGTGAGTGAGTGGGTGAGCGAGTGAGTGAGTGAGTGAGCGGTGAGTGAGCGGTCGAGTGAGCGGGTGAGCGAGTGAGTGAGTGAGTGGTGAGTGAGCGGTGAGTGAGTGAGTGAGCGGTCGAGTGAGCGGTCGAGTGAACGGGTGAGTGAGCGGGTGAGTGAGCGGTCGAATGAGCGGGTGAGTGAGCGGGTGAGCGGGCGAGTGCTGTTTTTTGGTATTACTACTATAATACCAAAAAACAGCGCTCGCTCACTCACTCACTCAGATAAGTAATGTTTTTTTATATAGCGTATTTTGCAGATCAAAGTCACCAAAAGTGCTTCACAATGTTCAGATATTGTTCCAATCCTTAGGCCTTAACACTCTCTGACCCCACACCTCTCCTCCATCACCTCTCCAGCTCCACCCCATGGCCTGAACCATGGCATTAAATTTAAGATTAAGATTATAATATTTAAAGTTTTATATTTAAGTCGCCAATGTTGACTATTATCACAGTGGTATGAAAAAGTTTGGGCAATGCACAATTTTCCTTCATAAATCATAAATTAAGAAATGTCAGTTGAATATATATATTATTGTTAAACATATATTATGGAGACAAACACAGTGAGGTTTGTGACGAAGTGAAATCCAGTTTGTACCATTCACAGAAAATGCGCAACTATAATACCAAAAAACGGTGGCTGAGTGGCTGAGTGGATAGCACTCTCGCCTCTCAGCAAGAAGGTCCTGGGTTCGAATCCCGGTCGGACCAGGGCCTTTCTGAGTGGAGTTTGCATGTTCTCCCCGTGTCTGCGTAGGTTTCCTCCGGGTACTCCGGTTTCCCCTACCACTAAAAATATGTCCAATAGTTCTAGCATGCGCCTCCTGTACTGGCGACCCCGCTCCCATCTCTGTGTGGAGTGAGAGACAAAATGCCCAAAAATTAACAATTGTAAACCGCTTTGAGACTCAGATCTGCAGTGAAAAGGCGGTATATAAATAAAGATTACTTACTACTACTTACTTACTATTTAAACCAAATTATTCCCATTTTAAAATGTTTCTGCACCTTTAACACTGATTATGGGAACTCAAAATAACCTCGTTGACTCTTTCACACCTCTGTTTTATTATCATTGATTTAATTACAGGTTTAATTAGATGTAGTGCTGGTTTAAATACGTGTTTTGTTCAGCCACCCCCCTGATGTGAGTTGGTCCGGTCCGTCGTCTTAAAGGTCCCCCCGTTGTTTAGTGTCAGGTCAGTTTCTGTGATGTCGTGTTCTGTTTAAATGTGATGTTTTTGGCCTCATTTATTTGTCATATTGGACACTTTTTGGCTGATTAAAAACCCGGCGTTTGTTGTTTCCTGCTTCACAGAATCAGTCCCCGAAGCTACTATAAATATATTAATTTTCAGCCTGCGTGCCAGCGAACGGCGAGCACGAGTGCCCTCAGGGAGAAGGTGTGCGTCGGGAAACTTGTCCTCCTCAATCTACATAAATCATTACGTTTGCTCATGTTCAAATTATAATATTGGACAAACTTCTCACGTTTTTGTGGCTAACGTCAGTAATTGGAGAACAGATGCTTGTATAAAGTTTGAGGCGGTTTTCTTCTGTACGACTAAAGTCACTAAAAACATTTACAAGTTTATCCTTTGCTTTTATCTCTGAAAGTGAAAAAAATAGTTTTGGGGTCTGGACTTGTAATAATTTGACAGATTCAAATGTATATTGCGTTTAATGAAGCATATTCCATCCATCCAGACATTTTCTTCTGCTTCATCCGTTGCCGGGTCGCGGGGGCAGCAGTCTAAGCAGAGACGCCCAGACTTCCCTATCCACACACACCTCCTCCGGTTCATCGTGGGGGACCCCAAGACATAGTCTCCAGCGTGTCCTGGGTCTTCCCTGGGGTCTCCTCCCGGTGGGACGTGCCCGGAACACCTCCCCAGGGAAGCATATTCCCACTGTGATTTCTATATCTTGTTTTCTCGGGGAGTGCTGGCCCCAGAAGACATGTGTAGGGTATAGAGAAGGTGAAACCGGAGCACCTGGAGGAACCTGCACAGACAAAAAGAGAACCTCACGCAGAATGACCTTGCGTCTCCTGGGAGTCTAACCCAGACCCTTAAATTATAACCATACATTGTTTTGTCTTTTTTTAAGGTCTTTCGCTCTTTAAATTTGGTTTGTTTTGAACAGCCTTAAACCACAGCAGTCGTTTCGGACTTCACAAAGTTGTTGATTTGCCAGAAACAGATTGAACAAACACACAGGAGCCATGGGTCCAGAGGGAGCGACCAACTTCTTTAAATGTTTATTAAAAATCTCTTTATTATGCTAAAGTTATAGATGTTATTGGTCATGTCTATTGTACTGCGCGCTCCTCACCTTCTGTTCTGTAACTGCTGATGCAACACTGACATTTCTGTCATGGGACAAAGAAAGTATCTCTTACATGCTCCTTCCATTACATTTTCTTCCGCTTCGTCCGTTGCCAGCTCAAGGGGGCAGCAGCCTAAGCTTCCTCCTGCTCATCCGGGGGAATCTTGAATGTTCATAAATGTCCATAAACGTTCTTAGATGTTCTTAGATGTTCTTAGATGTTCTTAGATGTTCTTAGATGTTCTTAGATGCCTCCTGCGTTCTTTAGTTTCTTCCCAAATCGAGTCCAATCCACTTTATATATACACATTTAAACAACAATACAGTTTCCAAAGTGCTGCACAAACAGGTATAACACATGCACAAGAAACGTGTCCTCACCTCCACCAAGTACAAAACAATAAGATACAAATATATAAAACGTATTAAAACTCTGACAAACTCTGTGATGTCACGTGGAAGTGTAAGAAGGCAGCAGCATCACCTCCCACCGCCGCCGAGGCTCCATCTCCCGGCACCAAACACCCAAAGTCTCACAAACACATCTCACTGCCTCCTACTCACATTGTATCTTTAGCATTAACTTCACCAGATTCATCTCACGTTTGCCAAAAGTGCTCCCAGCCAACAACGGGGAAAATAAAGTGTGTACGACTCCTGCAAACTTACAGAAATATGCGGCTTTCATGAATCCTGTGAACCCGACTTAAATAATGAATAGCTCTTTGCTTTTGTTTGATCATTATTTAAATCCGGTCTCTGTGATTAGTGCTTTTCATTAGATTCTGCCTCAAACCTCGGTCCTGATAATTGGACCTGTTTTATCCAAGTATTTACACATTTTCTAACAAGATGCATGAGAGCGCTGTGTGTGGATTACAAAGACTGTAAATAGATGGATAATGCTAACACGCCAGCTCAAGGAAGCCCAATAGAGAAGCGCTCATAGACGAAGTTTTGCTCCAACTCGCTCTGGCTCCTCATTGAAAAGTAAACCCCTCGAGCTCAATAATAAAGTAAGTAATCGTTATAGGGTCTTTCACAGACCAGAGTCACAAAGAGATTGACAATTGTTGTGGGCATTTGTCTCTCACTCCACACAGAGATGGCTCTCGCCAGACCCTTGCAGTTCCGCCATGCGCCACCAGAGGCGTTTCGCTTCACACACAAGGGTATCGAGCGCAGAGCAAACTCCTTCAGGAGATCAAGAAATAATGGATAGCCCAAGTCTGTTACATTACATTTTTAGCCCAAAAATCATTATGGGTGTTTTTTTTGGGCATTCTCATGGGTTTTGGGCTGGAAAATCTTGCCAGCATTTGGCAACCGTCTTAGTAATCTGCCCCTGTTACGGCGCTAAGCTAACGCCGTCCCATACAAGGAAGTCAGCTGCTGGTGAGAGCAGTTGCCATCTTTAATATCTGTATGAAGTGATTTTTGAGCCGGGCTCCGAGCCCATGTCCCGCTGCAATAACACTCTTTGCAGGAAGGTCTTGGGAAAGTGCAGCCTTTACAATAAACTGTTGATTCATCTTTTTTAAAGAAGGACTTATTCCAGAATGTGCCGTTATTGCCGAACATTTACAGCTTTTCCATTTCCCTGAGTTTGCCGTGTTGGTCCTGCAGCTCACGCCCACGCTCTCCACACGTACTACAGCGTTCTGGCAGAAGAAGAAGAAAGTATTTTCAAGTGCTTCTCAAAGTTGAATTAAAAAACATTTGGAGGTGAACTTTGTCCGTGTTTGAACCGTGTAGAATTCTGTGATGTGTTTGTCTCTTTGCTGTTTTTATGCAGCTTTTGTCACATTTTTATCAATCAATATCAAGTATCGACACCTTCAAATATGATTCTGTTCAAAAATAAAAAGAGATTTAGTCAATTTCAGTCATGGGAGAGAGATGTTGGGTCAGAGACTGTTTGGGCCTGTGTCTGCTCCAAATGCGTGAATATTCTTACATGTTCCATATCTAAAGGGACTATGATATGTACTATGTTTATTTTCAAATACATACAAGTCCCCAGATAACAGGTCACATGTAGAAATCACTTGTGACATTTTTTAAAGTTATCTTAAAAATACACTGGAGATTGGGTTGCCAGTTTGTAAGAATGTAGCTGGTTTTGGCTCCATTTTTTCTTTTTCTTCATTTTTTTCCGCAAGAAATAACAGCAAACCTGCGTTCAAACAAAAGCAGGTTCAAAGAGAAAGTCATTTTGAACACAAAGACTTTATGCCGTTCCTAGCTAAACCCCAGCAGGTGGATTGCATCAGTAATCCATGCTATAGCCACACAACATACATTACACCTCTCTGAAAATGTTTAAAACCAGGTTAAAAACGGTTCTGTTTAGCTGTGCATACAACTGAGGGATTTTATATTTGTATTTTCTTTCTTTTTAATGTTCTGTGATTATTTATGATTTTAATGCTTTCTTGTTTTGTTCAGCACTTTGAGTTGCCTTGTGTATGAATTGTGCTCTACAAATAAACTTGCCTTGCCTTCCCTTGCCTTGCCTTGCTGCTACTTTGGTCTTATTCGATATATATATTATAGATAGATATATATGTTATAGGTCTGATGATAGATAGATATTGGACATTGATTAAACTCCCAATCAAGTGCCAATCTCTCCAGTTCATTGCCTTTTGCGTTCACGAGCGGTGGTGACGGCCGTCCGTGTCTCGCCGAGCCGGTTACAGGCCGAGTTTCTGTTCTTTTTAATAGGCATTCCACTCTTGGCACGGACAGATTTATTTGGAGGCACTTATTGGAAAATATGAGCCCTATTAGCATTTAATTGAGACAGCAGATACGCGGGGCTGCTTCAGTTTGACTTCTGCAAAGGTGAACGCTGTAAATCACACGTCCTGGTTAAAATGGCTTCACTCTCTCTCTTTGTCTGTCTCCCAAACGAACTCGGCGGTCGGCGGCCTGCTTGGTATTTTACAAACCCCAGCGGATAATTAGGATGTCCGCTGATGAGGCAGATCTGAGAATGCGTCTCTGCTGATT